GAATTTTGTTCTAACCAAGAATTTTGTTCTAACCAAGATTAATTTTCTTATTTTAAGAAAAATTTTCTTGAAATCTGATTCTTACCTAGAATATTTTACTTACCCACGGGACAAGTAAAATTTTCTTAAAACAAGTAATTTTGTGCTTAAAATAAGTAATATTTTCTTAAAACAAGAAATTGATTTTTTGCAGTGTAGCTTTGAAAAAGTTTTTTGAAGTGGTCATTCAATGGATTTGGCATGTCCGATTGTCTGATGAGACTTGGGAGTGTTAAACGTAAAATGAACCTAATAGGCCAATACACAATATGCTTTTACCAGTTTTATAAGGTCATTGACATTGTGTCGTTTGAATCCGAATACATTTTATGATGCAACTCCGATGTAAATAATAATTGGGGCATAAAGATTAAATCTAGGCAAGTCTATTTTAAAAACTAAAAATAATGTTTGTAAAAAATCCAAATGTTCCTTCCGAGCAAGCTATTTGCATGAGAAGGCACTGCAAACTCTATTCAGGGGAGATAATAGAGTTTCAAAACTTTACAATTGCTCCAATAAACCAGTGAATGCACAGTCTTTTTCTATTTGAGTGTACTCCTACGTTTATTTTATATCATCAACACTCTGCATGTTGGAGTGGACTATTTAATTATTTTTTATTATGCCAAATGTTGGGGGGGGGGTGTTGAAATATTTTTTGGAGGGGTGGTCATTTTGTTTGGGGGAGGAGTTATAGCTAATATTGGGGGGGGAGCGCACACCCCCCCCGCCCCACAAAATCCGTCTATGCTTTTTAATCTAAGGAGTTAACTTAGGTAACTGAGGAGTGACTCAGATTAGCAAGCAAGTCTCCAGGTCTATTGTTCTTGCAATTTTGTATATATAGCTATTTCAATTAAGGTTGTCCCCCAAGCAAAGCAGAAAAGTCGAATACAAGCGCGAAAGGCTGCTGAAAATCGCTAATAAATTCATTTATATTTCTGTATACACCACATATAATACTTAGAGTGATGCTTACATTCTCAATATGTAAGTAAACTTTTACAGATTACTAGCTGTATAAGGATGTATATATAATGGTCTCCAGTGGCATTTGCATGATGTGTTTGGAACAGTGTTTAATGTGCATTATAAAGAAATCTATGGACTTTGAACAAACGGTTTGTCAGATAATATTGCTTGTCATGTGGAAAGAGTTGAAAAATTACTGCTTCAAATCTTCAGGAGAACTTAAATTTGCTACAACACATTCCTGTGCAATCAGAATTACACCTAGTTGTGCAACAGTGCAGCTGAAAAAAGAACTTGTATAAATTGACAATAATTTGATGTTTTGTATGTTACTCTGAGTGTATATCCACAACGGGCAGGCTAAAAAGTTAGCCTGACCATGGTAGGAATCGAACCCGCAACCTTTGGGACACTAGTCCAATGCTCTGCTAACTGCATATACACTCAGAGTAACATCAAAAACAATATTCACCTGAGTACCTGTACATATAAACACCCAAACAACACATTCTTAATAAGAAAATTCTTTTTAAGAAAAATTTCTTGATTTGAGAAATTATTTTCTTATTTTAAGAAAATTTTCTTATTTCAAGAATTTTTTTTATTGGGAGAATAACAAGAAAATTTTCTTAATAAGAAAATTCATTTTAAGAAAAATTTCTTGTTTTGAGAAATTATTTTCTTAAAATACGAAATTATTTTCTTATTTTAAGAAAATTTTCTTATTTCAAGAATTTTTTTTCTTGGGAGAATAACAAGAAAATTTTCTTATTAAGAAAAAAAAATTCTTGATTTGAGAAAATATTTTCTTAAAATGAGAAAATATTTTCTCAATTTAAGAATTTCTCTCAAGAAAATGTTCTTAATAAGAAAAATTTTCTTAAGAAAATTTTCTTATTAAGAAAATTTTCTTGTTATTCTCCCAAGAAAATATTTTCTTATTTCAAGAAAATTTTCTTAAAACAAGTTTTTTTTTTTTTAAAATAAGAAAATGATTTTTTGCTGTGTACGTTACGTGTTTTTCGTAATATACTGAATAGAATTTACTCACAAAATAAGCTACTACATTGGTTATACTGATTTCTAACTCGTGGGGCAGATTATTTCATATAAATATCACTCATCTAAAAAATAATTAATTCAATCTCTCATAATAACACTGTAGTGACCAATTTTTTATCATTATACAATGGAAGGAGAGGTAAAACTTCATATAAGTTAATAAATCCACGTAATTAAGTTTTCTACATTGATGCATCTTTATACAGTGGCGTAATTGAGGAAGAGGGGGCCCTTAAGCATATTTAGTATGGGGGCCCCTGTTGACTGCATGTTCTCATTGTTTGTGTGAGATATTATATTTATATTGAATATTGACAGAATGTTCTGGAAAATTTCGTGTCTATAACAACAACAATAAGAGTCTCTAACACATGTAACAACTAATATTATTAATTGTGCATTCCCCCATTGATTCTTAACCTGCATATTTTACGTTTCAAAATTTCTGGGCGATAGACCGTGGCTGATGAGGGGCCCTATAACCGTTGCGGGCCCTTAGTTTTTGAACTAACCCTACCCAATTAGCGTTACGCCACTGCTTGTATAAGGCATGATTAGGTCAGCAAACTCTCTTCTATTTTCGAGAGAAACAACAGGTGCAATTTCACCAATGTAACTTATTCTTATTAGGTAAGAGTTAATTACGAAAACGAAGTTTCTTAGGCCCGCCGTACACGAGAGCAACTTGCTGAGCTAACCGCCTCGCGTGGCAGCTAGCTCAGCTATGTATTTTCACCGCACAAGTTAGGAAAACTACTCAACAACAATATAATTGACAAAATTATTTGCATTATCCTCCATTTTGTTCCTAGTCACATGAAAAAACTATGGTTTGTCATTGGCTAATTGATTCAAACAGTTCAGCACTTAGCTCACAACATCTGCAGACGCTGAGATTTTTTCCTCGCGAGGTGAAAAATATCAAACAAGATAGATATTTTCCTCAAGGCCTCGAGAGATCAAATTCTCTCGAAAACTATCCGCGCATGAGAGCAACTTGCTGAGCGAACTGCCACGCGTGCATGACCCGAAGAAAGCGTCTCAAAGGATGTTACTCCCGAAGGATGCTTTGTGAGGTCACGCTCCCAAGGGATATATCTCCCTAAGAAACCGACCTTAATTCAAATTTGTAAGTATTGAAAAACAACGAAATTTACTTTATAATATGTCTGACGTCCTTTAAAATGAGTTTGAATTACCATGCATGATTGGAATAAAAGCAAACAGGGTTGCCGTTTGACATCGTCAATTTTCTTGTTGGACTACGAGAAGTGTATTAATTGATTATTATTCATTCGTTCACCAACAACAATTAAGATCAAATGTATTTATATTGAATTAAATCGGCAAATCATGTCAACCATAATATGTCACGTGCAGTGGCTTTAAACCTGATAAAACACTCCTAATTAGTATTCTTTGTATAAAGAATACAAATAAGTCAGTAGCTATTGTAGTCGTGTCCTCATTAGTATTCTTTATATAAAGAATACTAATAAGGCAGTATATTTCTATTGAATTTGTAGTCTGTTTGAAACCTACCCAAGGTTACGTCGTCCGGCATATCACGAATTGAAAACACAAATTATCTAGAGTTCTAATAGCAAGTAATTGTATTCCTTCCACTCGTGAGCTCATTACAAAAGTAATGTCCAGGCCTTGTGACCCTGGATGGGCACTTAAAAGGAAAGAATACACACACACAATTAGATCTAATGCGCATGTCGTTACTTGATGACGCAATTATTATGCAATAGAAACATGACAAAGATACTCAGATCTTTCAGTCTTAACAATATACATTATCATAATAATAAAATTGCCAACTGCTAGATAACAAAGAACCGGAGATGACGGAGTTCGCAATAAGTGTGTGTGTATTCTTTCCTTTTAAGTGCCCATCCAGGGTCACAAGGCCTGGATATTACTTTTGTAATGAGCTCACGAGTGGAAGGAATACAATTACTTGCTATTAGAACTCTAGATAATTTGTGTTTTCAATTCGTGATATGCCGGACGACGTCACCTTGGGTAAGTTACTTAATTAAAATGTTTAAATGGCAGTCGATCCAAATCTTGTTCGTAATTGTTTAAGACCCCGTTTTACTCCTTGTTGGGAGAGTGGTAGCTGTATGCTGCCCGGAAACTCGAGTGGAAGCTGGAAGCTGTCCCGTGAAATCACTTATTGCGAACTCCGTCATCTCCGGTTCTTTGTTATCTAGCAGTTGGCAATTTTATTATTATGGTAATGTATATTGTTAAGACTGAAAGATCTGAGTATCTTTGTCATGTTTCTATTGCATAATAATTGCGTCATCAAGTAACGACATGCGCATTAGAACTAATTGTGTGTGTGTATTCTTTCCTTTTAAGTGCCCATCCAGGGTCACAAGGCCTGGACATTACTTTTGTAATGAGCTCACGAGTGGAAGGAATACAATTACTTGCTATTAGAACTCTAGATAATTTGTGTTTTCAATTCGTGATATGCCGGACGACGTAACCTTGGGTAAGTTACTTAATTAAAATGTTTAAATGGCAGTCGATCCAAATCTTGTTCGTAACTGTTAGAAACCGTTTAATAAACTCGCAGGTCGTGTTTTATTAGGTCCAAAGCCACTCGCGCTGCGCGCTCGTGTCTTTAAACCTAATAAAACACTCCTGCTCGTTCATTAAACAGTACTTTAAACCATTTTACGAAAGCGATCAAGTACTACATTTTGTATCATGCCAAATCTAACCGTGAATGCGTTTAAACTATCAACGACTATATATAGCGACGAAGAAAATGTTTCCAAGCAACCCCAATCAGATGAAAATCTGTTTGTGGAAAGAGGATCGATCAGAACAACCAAATGGCGGACCATTAGAATTTGCATGGCACAAAGGAGACAGAGGAAAATTTGAAGAGAGTTGCAACAGTTTCAGAAGCGGGCCTGAAAAATGAATATATTACACGTATACCGTAGGCACAAGATACAACAACATTTGGGCAGTTCATGTGTGGAAAGAAGGCACCGAAATAAGAAGTAGCTCAGCCGAAGTTAGAAGCGCTAACGAAGATTTGCATGTGTTTGTCCAAGCAAAGATTCTAAAGCCCGTTTTATACGTCGAATTTTGGTCGCTTCGAATGCAATTAAGACAATAGATAATGTGATGATAAACCTCATTAGAAGGTGGGAAAGGGTGTTTTCGTGAGCCGTGAATGGTCAATATTTGTTCGCGTGAAATGTGAAATGCTTGATTTTAGTGTCGTGAAATGTGATTTGTTCTACAGCCGTGAGGCGTGATTGTTAATAGAAATGCTCCGTGAAATAAGAATTCAGGATGTCTGTTTCGTGAACAGTGATTTTGCTTTGTTTATTTCGATCTATTTTATAATAAACGTGATACGCGATAATCAAATTTATATTATCTCACTCGATTGCACAAGAGTAAAAACTTCGGAGGCCTTTTGCGAGGTTCCTCACGCTGAGGACAAGGTTCCTCACGCTGAGGACAAGGTTCCTCACGCTGAGGACAAGGTTCCTCACGCTGAGGACAAGGTTCCTCACGCTGAGGACACGCGCGGAGGTCGTCGTACATTCTCGTCACTCATACTTGTAAGTTATGATGTAGTTTTTAACTGATAGGTAGAGAAATGAGAGAACTTAAAGCGTAGATACTATACTGTACCATGCATTAAACATAGTCTTAATAAACCTATTATTATTATATTATTTTATGAGAATCTAGTTTTCCGTGAAATTGCTTTTTTAAGACACGTGAATCGTGAAACGGCTTTTTTTCGTTGTGAAACGTGATCCATACCCCCCCCCCTTTCCCACCCTTTTTCAGAGACCAACGCCGCCGGTATAACCTCACGAGCATTACCTGTAGTTACCCTTGAAACTCTTTGGTCCTTCGTTAAACGAGGAATTTGATTCCCCAGGGTCATTGAATATTTAGAATAAATCTTTTAATCAAAATCGCTTCATAAGTTAATTTTCATGCATTCCCAAAGACCTTAAAAAAATAAAAGAGCACATCCATCCAATAAACAATTATAATTTAAACTTCACTTCATTGAAACGAATATTTACGATAAAATGGTAACGGTTATCAAATTAGTTGAACAAGCCGTTTTTAGCTAATTCTCGACACTTCCCAAAATGTTTATTCAAGTTTAAACGCAGCTCTCTCGGTCAATATTTGCACGAAAATGCACAGGGCGTATATCAAAATTTAGGTTAGACCACACTGAATGCAGTGCACGTAGTTTAGGTGTAATTATAGCTCTTTTAGTTTTAAGTTACTGTAAAATAAATCAAACAGGGCAACTTTTTTTGCACCACCCAGTATAAAACCGAAATCTCTGTGGGTCCAACTGAGACTGGGGCATGGAGTAGAATATAATGACGCTTTTGTTGGATTTCAATTTAAACAGAAAATGTAGTTCCCGACTTTGCGGTGTCCGAACATAATCACGCTCACTCATGAGCCAATCAGAACTCAGTGTTTCAGCTAGCGGGCTATATCCCATAAACTGTCTCATAACGAGTTTCATAGCAATTACAGTGGGTAACAAAATTAATATAAAACATTTTCCGTATATCAATACGAGTAGAAATGGGGAAAACGAGAAATTGTGTGGAAACACGACGCCCAAACTCCAAAGGGCGGAGTGTTTTCACACAATTTCGAGTTTTCCCAATTTCCACGAATGTTGATACGACTGTTTATCAATACGGAAAAATGTTTTATATATTTTTTATAATATAGCGCAAAGAAATATAAAGAAATAAATCTTCCGTGTTGACATTGAGTTATATATCTATACAGTATATATAAGATATCTTTTTCAGGTAGTTCAAACACACTGAGCTGAAACACGCTGACAACCTATTTTAATTTAGAACACTATACTAAAACTGGACTTCTATTTGACATGCTCCAAATCTGTGGTTTATTTGGGAGTAGTTATCAAAAGGCGCGCAAATTGTACAGTACATTATATTAAAATCCTAAATCAGACAGATTAAAACTACATAAACTTACCGCTGACAGCAATCTTGAGCTTTTGTAACACATTGCAACAAAAGAAAGAATAACAAAAATTAGGAGAAGAGATCCGACAGCAAGCATACATCCAGCGGCAACAAACCATTCATTATCAGAACATAAATCTGCATAACTGCCTCTGTAGGTGTTGAGAAATATTCCAACAAATAATGCTCCTAATGCGAGGATCTACGAACAAAAGTAATACATTTTAAAACATCAAAACATAAAGGCGTTTTCCATTTCAAGCGTAATGTACCGACACGTATCAAAACAAATCTTAAATTTCAAAAATTAGTGACTGTTGATTGCTTATGCCAAAAGGTTGACTTGCGCATAACGTTTTATTTTGATACGCAAATCAGCCGGAAGTACGCAAATTTGAAAACCCGTCTTCAGGCTGCGCATGCTCACCGGTACGTTACGATACGGGGGAAGTGGAAAACGGGCTTATTAAAGTTCCTGAAAATCAAGACTCGAACAGGTACAGTACGTATTACATTATATATATATTATATATAAAGATGCTAGTTTTAATACAGCTACCTAGTACCTGGATTTTAAATGCCAACCCTATAACTCTGAATGCCAACTTATACACTTTGAATTCCAGCTTCATAACAAGGATTTCTATTTATAGGACTCACATTTCCCCCACTATAAAGATTTTCTTTATGCTCTTCGCGTAATTGCTACGTTATCACGTCATCAAACTAATTAACATACTTTTGTAATTTGAATAACATTGTGTACGTGGTTACCAGCATATCGGGCTATTAAAGAAACCAGGGTTCATCGCAATTTCAACAAGGAGAGTAGACTGTGACGCAGAGGCGGCGAGATCGACATGACGCCATAAAATATTATTGTTAAAAGTATCTGGGGGTTTTTGCCGAATATAAATGTAAATTACAGTATAATGCACCGTATTTAAAAAGAAATCTGTTATTTGACATGCGTTTGACAGTAATCATTTAAAGTAAGTATTCTGTAATTGCATATAAAGGTGCAATAGACTGCGTTTAAATTACGGGGGTTAACACTGAATGAGCTGCTTTATAGTTAACAAACAGATACGATTTTGCCGTTGTCTGTTCAGTTATAGATACACAGTATGACGTCATGAGCATGGGAAGAACAAAAAAGTCGCTAATTGTCTACACTATATAACAGTGAAATTCGCCGGGTGCGGCTTCTATTGGAAACCCTAAGTATCTTGGGCTTGCAACAGCAACGTTTTTGAAGGATTAGGACAGCAGGAGCTACTACGAATGGTGTTGCCTGAAGAAACATGTGCTAGTAAGGGTGGGATTGAATTAATCACTTTTCTAAACGTGCAGACATAGTCTGAAGTCAAACAACTTTGATTTTTGAGTAAATCAACATTAATTGGTATTGAATAAACTATACTGTACATAGTACTTACCAGTAATAAACAATTTACTAAAATTGCAAACCCCAAGATGGCTTTGTCACTATGGGTTGGTTGGTAAGTACCAAATCTAAACATAATTATATTACAGTAAGTAATTGCAATTTAGATGAACTAACAGTGGTCAAGTTTTCCAAAGAGAAGTGAAAAAATCAAAATTCTATACTGTAGATCAGCGCAATGCACTCTAAATCTTGGCCTAGTGTGATCTCCTCTATATTACCCAATAAAGGCATCTCACAAATATTGTTCCTCAGTGACTCAAGACTATGGAAAGCCATGACTGTCGTAAGTGATCGAATGCTCGCGGCATAGGATCTGGCAGGCGTTTAAAGATGGCCAGGAGCTGAAAACATACAGTATGAAGAATTCGAAATGTGTGCACACTTAAATACTTAAAGGGGCAATGTCACGGTTCTACTGCGCATCCAAACTATGCGCGAACTTGAAACTATTTATAATCCCTTCGTTATGCAGGACATCCTCGCTTTGTTTTAAAAATTGAAGACTGCTGCATCTTTTCCAATCATGTAGCATTAGTTTTAAATGTTTCTTTGAGCCGTTTATTTTAGCCAATCAGCGCCGTGACACTGCCCCTTTAAACTGTTGAGATCTTGCAGTTATTAACTGAACACGGAATTCCAAAGTTCTTCTAGTAAATTTGAATGGTAGTCTAGGAAATGCAAGCTGTAATAAAAAAAGCCGATGCAAAGTTGGTGACACTGGGCATAGTAACTGAAATAACAGGCTTCAGGATGTCTGATACCAGGAAATTTTTTTGACCTCACACTTTTGAGTGAATTTGAATGTGTTTTTTTTTTCTTTTCAAAATAGCCTGGCTACCTGACATTTTCTGGGGTTGGGTGATTTGTGCAACTATCGTTTATAATTGTATTTATTGGTTCTACTGAAAGCACACACTGCATGTTAGAAGTTGAAATTTGGCAGGAAATGTTTTGGGCATGAAAGCCTGCTGCCAGGAAGACAAATATTTTGTCACAGCCTGCTATGGCTGCTAAAATACCACAGGCACAGTACTGTTATCTGTATTTTCGTTGTTTGTTTCTCCATGATCTGAATCTAATCTCTCTGTACAGGATCTATGAATGCCTTCTATATTGCTACACTATAAAACTGATGCTGTCGTCGTCTGCAGTTAAAAGTGCCCAACCAATGTTCCCACGTTTAAAGATTCCAGTATTTGTTCCATGATTATTCACAATAATTACAGATACAATCAGGGCAGGAAAAAATTTTCTTCCTGGGAGCAAAACCTGGAGACATGAATTTCTTTTTGACCTACAAAGTAATTTTGTGCTAAATCATGTGCATATTAAACATATAGTGTTTAAAATTCAAGGAACAATGTCTGTCAACAATATGTTGTTGCGCCCATAGTGGGACATGGGTGTTAAGGTTTCCTTCAAATTTTCAATAGCAAATCTTCATTCAAACGAATTTCCTGCAGCTATTTAACATTTCCTGCGAGCAGTGCTCGCATGCTCGTTTATTTTCTCCATCCCTGGATACAATTAGATATTATACAAATAATGAATGTTTATGAGTGCAATGGTAAGAATATTTTCATGAGGTGAAAGATGGAATGTTCCATTCAACGAGGCGACAGCCGAGTTGAATGGAACATTCCATCTTTCACCGAATGAAAATATTCTTACCATTGCACGAATAAAAACATTCATTATTTGTTTTATATAATACCAAAAATAGACTAATATTAAAAAGTTTACTGTAAGCTCCAGCCATTTTGACGAGTCATGTATTTGCATTAAATCCCATTTACTGAGTTTCGAAAATCGGGTTAAAATAAACTGCAATTACCGTACGAGGAGCATTTTGGCGGATGCGATTTATCGAAAACACAAAGAGTGCAATGGAATAAAACGTATAGTACAATTGCACTCGCAAGAGTGCAATGGAACGTATTCCATTGCACTCTTGGGAAATGGAATTTTCTATTCAATATCACGTGACCATAAACAGCCAATTAAACGATCAGAATTCAATAAGGTATTATATAAAATAAAATCAACGAAAGAGATAATAAAATGAACTTCTTCTCGACAAAACATGCCGGAATATTAAGTCTGGTCAACACTGCAAAACTTATAAATGAATGAGCCGCGAGAATTAGCCTACTGTAGTTGTGATGATACATTAAAAGCATCATGCAAGTACCACACACATGTCTATGACTCTATCAGGGCTCGAATTTTATCGCGGCAATTGCCGTAGAGGGAGAACAAAATGCCGCGGATCATTGCGGCAACGACGGCAATTTTTTGCCGTGTAGTCTGTGCATTACCACTTAGATACTTGAATTCAGATGTTGATCAAATCATGCGTAAATCACTATTTTAGTCTCAGTTTTCTTCGAAAAAAAAAACACTAAAGAAATACGTAGACATGTTTCTAGTTTGTCAAAAATCCAAAGTGACAATAAAATTAAAGTTTTATTACTAATTTGAAAAATGCCGTGGAAACTGCCAAAATTGCCGTAGACAGCTGTTACGTTCTACGGCAATTTTTAACGCCATTGCCGTCGATTGATTTCAGGGAAATTCGAGGCCTGGACTCTATGTAAACACTGACTAAATATACTGGCTAACTAAGTATATACTGTAGAGTAATGATGCTAAAAGCACCGTGTATAATGGCCAAACCACTGCATATCATATCATGTTGAAAGCACAGCTTATGCCGAAAGCAGTATTTACAGATACATATAATGTTCTCAGCACTGCAGGGGCCATGGAACCGGGGAGTAAAAAAGTGCCTTTTTTCTGGGCTAAAGTGCCTCATTTAAAGAACAAATTAAAGAAGAATTTCTTGAATGAACACCCTCTTTTCCTGGAAAGAAAGTGCCTTTTTGGCAGTAGTAAAGTCTCTATAAGGCCATTAGTCCAACGTTATGGGGATTCCATATTTTCAAAAAATTTTTGTCCGGCTCGTGAAAGAAATAAAATCTTTTGATTTTGATCATATACAAAAGTGCCCTTTCTGGCCAATGCCCCTTCACTTTCAAAATGCTTCCACAGCCTCTGCAGCACTGCATATATTAATCATTTAATATGTTCAATACACTGCATATAATGTTGAAACAACTACATATATTGTCAAAACAATCATGTATGTATGTTTTTAGTACTCACTATAATATGCATAGCACATCATGCAGTATAATATTATAGGCCGGTTTACACGACAAGCGTTTTGGGCACGGCACCCCTGAAAATGGGCACCGTGCCAAAACCGCCACTTCGCTATTTACTCGTTTACACGACAACATTTTGTAAACACACTTTTATGATAGGCACCGTGCCCATCGGAAAACGGCACCTCTACTTTCCGTTTACGACGGTATAGTTTAAAGAATAAATACGTCGGACAGAAATAGAATTATATATTTATATTTATTGGAACGAAGAAGAGTATTATATGAGCCGAAAATCGAGGGGAAAAAACAATTCAATACTAGAAAAGTAGCCAGCTCATATGGCCAAAAGTTATCCCGGTTAGCGAGAAAACTTTTCGACAAGTTTACAAACGAGATCTTGCCTTGGTATGAAAATAATATGAAAAGTTACACTGCGTTCATATGAGACAAAAAGTTTTCACGAGATCTCGCTTGTTGACAAACCAGATCTCGGTGACCGGGATAATGTTTTTCCCATATCAGAACTTTACCGCTTAACGGGATAACTTTCTGTCGTATCAGCATCTTTTCAATTCAATTGATATTCAGTGCGTGCCCATCGGAGAACGGCACCCGGCTCTATTTTCCGTTTACGACGGTATATTTTAAAGAATAAATATGCCGGCCAGAAATAGAATTATTTAACAATTATTCGCCGAAGGCGAAGTGATTACCGGTGAATATTCACCGAGACGAAGTCGAGGTGAATATTCACCGTAATCACTGAGCCTGAGGCGAATAATTGTTTTAGTATAAATTTTTAATGAATAAAACAAAATATCCAAGATATCCAACTATAAGTTTAATTAAAATTCAGAAATAAAACTGTTTTCGACCGGTTTACGGTTTAGTGTTGCAGTGTTTCTTGTACACGCACGCTTTCAAAATGGCTTCCTGTGCGACTTTATTGCTTTATTACAAAGTTATTTTTCTCGATTTCTGCTTAGAATATAAACACAATGATGGATGACTTTTTTACCAGACTTAGAATTAAAAAATAGTTTCTGTTTAGCATTAATTTGTTCAGGAAATGGCTGAGAAATTTGGTAAAATGAAATGTAAAACTATATCGTTCGAATTAATATAAAAGTTTTAATACACTTTTCACGTTACAAGTTTTAAAAACACAAATAGTACAATACAGCGAAAGGACACCATACAGCACAATGAAAATACGACATAGTCAAAAGAAATAGTATCGTACAAATTGAGATATTTATAGGATACAAAACAAAATTGTTTTAAAAAGAATATCACGGCTTTTCCCAAAAGTCGGGATATTTTTTGCTGTTTCAGATTTACGTTTGAAGCGAATGTTTCGGAGTTTTAAATAAGTTTTAAATTGTCCGTGAATATGTTTGACACAGTAATATAATGCTAAATCCTACCTTTCAAGTTAAATACAACATTTTGTGCTTTTTTTCTTTTTCTGGGACGATTTTTTCAATATTTTGTCGATTTTGAAACCAAATTTGCCGAATCATTCTTTTTGAAAAGCATTATTTACTACCCAGGTGGTAAATAATGCCTCAGATTTACTAGTCATCTAGCCAATCAGAACGCGCGAAAGCTCATTTGATATGCAAAATTTATACTAAATATATATATATATATATATATATATATATATATATATATATATATATACATATATATATATATATATATATATATATATATATATATATATATATATATATATATATATATATATATTTAGTATAAATTTTGCATATCAAATGAGCTTTCGCGCGTTCTGATTGGCTAGTTGACTAGTAAATCTGAGGCATTATTTACCACCTGGGTAGTAAATAATGCTTTTCAAAAAGAATGATTCGGCAAATTTGGTTTCAAAATCGACAAAATATTGAAAAAATCGTCCCAGAAAAAGAAAAAAAGCACAAAATGTTGTATTTAACTTGAAAGGTAGGATTTAGTATTATATTACTGTGTCAAACATATTCACGGACAATTTAAAACTTATTTAAAACTCCGAAACATTCGCTTCAAACGTAAATCTGAAATGGCAAAAAATATCCCGACTTTTGGGAAAAGCCGTGATATTCTTTTTAAAACAATTTTGTTTTGTATCCTATAAATATCTCAATTTGTACGATACTATTTCTTTTGACTATGTCGTATTTTCATTGTGCTGTATGGTGTCCTTTCGCTGTATTGTACTATTTGTGTTTTTAAAACTTGTAACGTGAAAAGTGTATTAAAACTTTTATATTAATTCGAACGATATAGTTTTACATTTCATTTTACCAAATTTCTCAGCCATTTCCTGAACAAATTAATGCTAAACAGAAACTATTTTTTAATTCTAAGTCTGGTAAAAAAGTCATCCATCATTGTGTTTATATTCTAAGCAGAAATCGAGAAAAATAACTTTGTAATAAAGCAATAAAGTCGCACAGGAAGCCATTTTGAAAGCGTGCGTGTACAAGAAACACTGCAACACTAAACCGTAAACCGGTCGAAAACAGTTTTATTTCTGAATTTTAATTAAACTTATAGTTGGATATCTTGGATATTTTGTTTTATTCATTAAAAATTTATACTAAAACAATTATTCGCCTCAGGCTCAGTGATTACGGTGAATATTCACCTCGACTTCGTCTCGGTGAATATTCACCGGTAATCACTTCGCCTTCGGCGAATAATTGTTAAATATTTATTGGAACGAAGAAGAATATTATATGAGCCGAAAATCGAGGGAAAAACCAATTCAATACTAGGAACGTACTTTAAGGGCCAGTTCATATGGGCAAAAGTTATCCTGGTTAGTGAAAAGACTTTTCGAAAAGTTTACAAGCAAGATCTCGCCTTGGTATGAAAATAATATGAAAAGTTAGTTTACACTGCGTTCATATAAGACTACAAAACGTTTTCCCGTGTACGTACCGAGATCTCGCTTGTCAAGTGATAATGTTTTTCCCATACGAACACAACTCTAGTTCCCGCTTGGCAGGATAGCTTTCTGTCGTGTCAGTAACTTTTCAATTCAATTGATATTCAGTGCTATGTCACAGCCGGAAACTTTACCCGGTAAGCGGAATAACGTTTCTCCACGCATGTGAACAGAACAAAAGTATATTTGGCTAGTCGAAAAGTTTTCTCGTTAACCGGGATAACCTTTGCCCATATGAACAGGCCCTTAAAGACGAAAGGAGTTGTTTTCTCGCATAGTGTTGTGCCATCTTGTATTCACCCGCCACGAATTTGAGAGGTATGGACGCATCGAACGACAGCTATTTGCTACGATCTAGTTACTGCTCTATTCAGAGACGAACAGTGGTATCAAAATTTCCGAGTCAACTAGAGCAACATTCACATTCTGTGTTAAATTTGTTTTTTAACTTTGTTTTTTTTTTGGCAAGTTGTAGTAAGTTTAGTTTCGCCGCTTGCTGCCATGTTGGAAAGAGGACAATTTGTTTTGCGCATGCTCGATGTCGAACACATTTTTTATTTTTTTTCGAAATTTGGGCACGGCACCCCTTGCTAGACGTGCCGAGACTACCTCGTGAGAAAGTCTCGGCACGTTTAAATTTTGCGGCACCGGTGCCGATTTTTGTCACGTTTACACGCCAAAAGGCAGAGGTGCCGTGCCTAAAATTTTGGGCACGGGTGCCCATTTTTAGGGGTGCCGTGCCCAAAACACTAGTCGTGTAAACCGGCCTTATGTTGATAGCACCACATACATGGGATTGCATAATGCTAAAAGCACCGAGGAGACATACAGTACAGTAACATAATGTCCATAGTAATGTACTGCAGATTGTTCAAAGCACCATATAATGTATAACTTATGCTGAAACATCCGTGTAGAATATTCAAAGCATAATTACATATAATGCTAATAATTACGGACAAAGTTCATAGCATCATGTAGAGTCAGGAAAGCACCAACTGCTATTGTGTACAGTCAATGGCCTTTTTTCTCAACCTGCTATAAATAATAACACAGTGCCTGGTATGAGGTTTGAGAAATGCCTACATGTAATAACAGTACCAGACCAATAGCAACCATGTTCGAGCTACACCGTATCATTAAAAGTGTTTGATGATCTTGGCAAAACATGCACTCACTGACCAAAGGTGTGCATACACTTGTTTTGAGGCATACTATGCATGATCAAGCACCTGATTGAACAGATCTGTAAAACACCTGCTGATTTTCTAAATGTGACAATTTTCTAATTTTTTTACATACCTGCTTCTTCCAGGGATCATCATTTTTTGTGAACTAGATGGAATAAATGGCCTGCTGTTACCATTCTGGCCATTCTGCACTCCCACTCCTTTTTCGCCATACAAAGGTCTCATTTCCATTGATCCGCCGGTTTATTCACCAACAATAATTGCAAATTGCAACCTAGTGAGTTAAATATATAGTCTGTAACAAAATTCATGATGTGTTGGAAATTTGAAACACATACAATTGCAAACTTTAAATTATGACTTATCAATAAATATTAACCGAAGGTGTTGCGCCAAGAAAATCCTGCAGGCAGGCCGTTTAATGGAGGTAAAAATTGACATAAAACATCATTTGGGACCGCTCTTTGGGTGGCCGTGGCCGCTTAATAGATGTGGCCGTTTAATAGAGGGAAGTTTATAGCATTTGTATTACAAAAATGGGGACTTTCGATATGTGGCCGTTTAATAGAGGGTGACCGCTCATTGGAGGGCCGCTTAATAGAGGTTTGACTGTAGTATTAATGTTTGGAGGTAGGTGCCGTTTGTGGTCAAAGGCTGCAACATTTATATTTTGCTGGCAAGACATATTGCCATGCCAACAGATTAGGAACAGAGCAGCAAAGGAGTTTGCCATGACAATTCTGCCAAGACATCCCTCCAGCACCTGTCACATTGACGAGTCATTGGAAAAAATACAATCTATAGTGGTCTGTACATGGTACTCGAATGTTGAACTAACAAAGTTTAAATAAAACAAAAATTGGGTGGGGAAAGGACAAAGGGGTAACAAGGGCAACTTGGGGGAAACAAGCGCAACTTGCCACAACAAGGCAAAACTAGGCAATTGATCCGATCATGCACCACAAACCCCTTAATGGCTGTGACGTCATGGGCTTCCAAACGGAAGTCGATCAACATGCATGCATAATACATCTGCCGTTAACCTTGCTTAAACATCTATTTAAAATAACCTCATTTTTGACTTTCTTCTTGCCAATTAATAATTGACTTGATGAGTCATCAGAGGCCTAATTACTGAGTTTGTCGGTTAACCGAGTTAAATCCAAGTCAGAGTCAAATCCGAGCCCGAGGCAAATGTCCGAGTCAAGTCATTGAACTACAAAGACCACTAGTAGTACCCTAATCCTAACCCCACTCCTAACGTACCCTAACCCTATTCGACTGTGAATTTTATTCAATTTCGGAGTTTGTCAGTTAACCGAGTTTTCCGAGTCCGAGTCAGTCAAATGTCCTAGTCACTGTTTAGCTGTCTTTGTCGGTCCAATGACTTAGTATACCCTAAACCTAACCCTATTCGACTGTGAATTTTATTCAATTTTTTTTTTAATTTACGTGACTCCGGGTGTTTGACTTTATAACAAACGTACTTGCAGGGAGGTGAGTCCGGGATTGGACGCACCGAGGGTGGCTGGAAGTTTCCCGAACTTACCGAGCGAAGCGAGGTGAGTTCGGGAAACTTCCAGCCACCCGAGGTGCGTCCAATCCAGGACTCACCAAACCTGCAAGTACGTTTGGTTTTTATCCCATACACCGAGGCTGACCGAGCCATACACACATTTGTAGCTCTTCGCGATATATTCGTCGATGTTTTGTGAACATTTTCCCGGCCAAAAAAATCACTGGGCAAGAAAATACTTCTTTATCTACGTCTACATTACCTTTACTGCATTTTTTCTTTGGTTTTTCTTCAGTCTCGGTATGTTAGTCACCGAAAAAAGTTCTTTAATTTAAAGTTTAGGTTTATCGGCTAAATCTTGTCCGCCATATTTGTTATTGTTATTGCAACGTAAGCAGTTTAGCGGGTGAGTTCGGGCGAAAAGCAGGTGAGTTCGGCAAAAAGCAGGTGAGCTCGACGACAAGCTCACCTGCTCTAAACCAATCAGAAAGCCGCTTTTAACACAGGTATGGGATAATATAACAAACGTACTTGCAGGGAGGTGAGTCCGGGATTGGACGCACCGAGGGTGGCTGGAAGTTTCCCGAACTTACCGAGCGAAGCGAGGTGAGTTTGGGAAACTTCCAGCCACCCGAGGTGCGTCCAATCCCGGACTCACCGAACCTGCAAGTACGTTTGGTTTTTATCCCATACACCGAGCCATACACACATTTGTAGCTCTTCGCGATATATTCGTCGATGTTTTGTGAACATTTTCCCGGCCAAAAAAATCACTGGGCAAGAAAATACTTCTTTATCTACGTCTAAATTACCTTTACTGCATTTTTTCTTTGGTTTTTCTTCAGTCTCGGTATGTTAGTCACCGAAAAAAGTTCTTTAATTTAAAGTTTAGGTTTATCGGCTAAATCTTGTCCGCCATATTTGTTATTGTTATTGCAACGTAAGCAGTTTAGCGGGTGAGTTCGGGCGAAAAGCAGGTGAGTTCGGCAAAAAGCAGGTGAGCTCGACGACAAGCTCACCTACTCTAAACCAATCAGAAAGCCGCTTTTAACACAGGTATGGGATAAGGACTTGGATTTGACTTGATAAATGGATTTACTCCCTAATTACTGGAAACAAATTACCGGTCCCAGTCTCCCACAAGTACTGTAGCTCACTTGCCATTTCCCCTTGCAAGCTATGTGACACTGAGGTACAGTAGGTCCATTTCATTTCAACTGAAAATGGGTTATTTTGTGAAGTTGGGCAGCAAGCTTGTTAGTGGCACGGTGGTTAAGATGTGCGACTATGAAGTTCTAAGTTCCTGTGTCGATCCTGCTTTGCGCTGGGTTTTTTTTTGCCTTACTGAATTTGTCCTTTTTCCTTTTCAAATTTTTTCCATGTAGTTTTAACTCTCAAATTGTTTCTTTAACATTAGAATGAGTTTGTTTTCTAATAAATATGTACAGTAATGACAAACAGCCAGTCATTTAGTATTTCTTTCTGCCAGACAAGGTATTTTTTTATTGGTTATTTTGCTTTGGTTGTCGATTTTAGACGTTCGGTTATATTTGCCCAAGGGTATGCTACTTAGGGATAAATTATTACATCAATCAACACCAAGTATCCAATATTGATCATCACAGGCAAAGGCAGTTAATATCGTATATGTTTAAATGACACAAAGTATTTGGACATTGAGATATGTTTATACACTGAACATCAACAAATGATAAAACCTAACTAAAACCAAACTTATTCTCAAGTTGAAGAAACCTAGAAGGACAAGAAAGACACCTTAGATCAACTAAAATTAATCATATGCTGAAGACGCTATAGGCTGTAAATACTATATGAATATCCCCAAATTCAACCAACAGACAAATGTCAGTTAACAAATTTGATACACAGTTCAAAGTTAATATAAATTATGTTTAACTTGATAGAATATCACATGAATTGAAATACTCAAGTTCGGGTAAACTATTAAGGGAATGGGAAAGCGAAAAGTGAAATATTTTTTATAGAGAACTTGACCCTTATCAAGTGAAGTTTATTGATTTCCTAGGTACTGTAACTGGACAAAACGAGTCAAGAAATTATCATAGTTTAATCAGGGCACTGGGATTCTTTAATATTAAACTTGCCATAATTGTGTCATGTGAGTAACCACAAACCAAACTCGACCGATATGGCCAACTTAAAATTCTCAAACAATTGACGTTCCTATCACCGCTAGACTGTCGTTTGTGTGAAACGTTCTATGTTAGATAATTGCGACATTAAAGTAGATTAGAATTCGATTGATATTTTACCTTTATATTGCCAAACTATTTCTTGATTTTTAGTATTTCCTTCCCGTTCACTGCGTAGTTGTCGTTGTCAATAAAATATAACTGCGTTCAAGAGAGTTTGAGCATCAAAAATGCTTATTTGCTTTACAAATATTATGCATGGAATGTCGTCCCGCGTGGAAAAACACGATTGTCCTGCAAAACACGCCTCTACGAGCCTACGAACAGGTGGAGTAGGCGTGGGAAAAATGGGACGATCTTCGATCGTCAGCTTTTGACTCTTAGCTTGTTTCAGTTGAGGTAAAATTGGCAATGGGTTTTTGGGAGATATTAGTTATTTGAACTGGGAACGAAAAACACAAAAATGGGAATTGGAAAACCCGAATACCACTAAGAACAGCTACAGAACAACTGTTGGCAATGAGTTTGTGCAAAACGGGTCAAGGTAACTGGCTGCATTTTATAATCAGTAACAGACTTTTGACTGGACGAGGTTATGTTTCTGCTATTTACCTTTTGCTCGCCAAAACTGACAAAACTAGTTCTAAGGAGAGCAATTGAACGTAGAACAGCGATTTATAAGTCATTCCATAGAGATGAACCAACTGCTTGTATTTTCTTTCAATTTCACAGTATCTAGGGCTGCCAAATGCGATTTAGAGAGAGGGTCCTGAAGAAGTAAAATGGGAAATAGAATTTAGAGAGAAGGTCGTGAAGGGGTAAAATGGGATTTAGAGAGAGGGTCCTGAAGGGGTAAAATTGGAAATGGGATTTAGAGAGAAGGTCCTGAAGGAGTAAAATGGAAAATAGAATTTAGAGAGAAGGTCCCGAAGGGGTAAAATGGGATTTAGAGAGAGGGTCCTGAAGGGGTAAAATTGGAAATGGAATTTAGAGAAAGGGTCCTGAAGGGGTAAAATTGGAAATGGATTTAGAGGGAAGGTCCTGTAGGGGTAAAATGGGATTTATATTAGAGAGAGAGGGTCCTGAAGGGGTAAAATGGAAAATGGGCAGTGTTGTAAAAAATACTGAAAAAAGTAATGAGTAGAAGTACATTTACTTCGCCTAAACAGTAATTGATTAGATTACAAATAACTTTACTGGAAAAAGTAATTAATTTCCAAGGACTAATTGCTTTTCTAAAAGTAATTAATAATTACAAATTACGTTCAAAATTACTTTTCGTTTTACTTTTTCGTTTTACTTTTTGTATTTAAATCATGCTTGCCGCTTTCGACCTTTTACAATACAAAATTGAGTAAAATCATTTCGTGCAAAATGGCGGGAAATTGAAAAAGACATTAATCATATCATGATCAATACATGAAGTAATGTTGAAGGCTCACGCCGCATATTTCACATATTGCAGGTTTATTGAGAAATATTTCAATTTTGTAAACATCGTATTCGTAGTAGTTCACTAGTTCTTAAGGCAGGTAGCCTAGAAAAACGTTTTACTACCTTCTAGATAATGTGCAATGAATATTGTGAGAGATTGAAGTAAAATTGAAAAGTAAGGTGATGTTACTTTAAGAAAATTTTACTCGTTACCTTCAAAATGTAATTAATTACGTTACAAATTACTTCAGTAAAGAAAGTAATTAATTACCATCAAAATTACTCAAAAAGTCATTTGTAATTAGTAATGCGTTACTATTGTAATTAGTAACGCGTTACTATTGTAACGAGTATTTACACACTGGAAATGGGATTTAGAGACAAGATCCTGAAGGGGTTAAAATGGGGAAATAGGATTTAGAGAGAAGGTCCTAAAGGATTTTCCTATTTTATGACTGGAAAATTGGGATGACAGACACTAAAAAGGCTGGGAAAATCCATATGCCATTTTAAAGACGTACGGTTGTAGTTGGACATTTCAAAGTTTAAATAGCTTCAAGGAAAGCTTGGGAGCAACTTGCGATTGCGAAATCAGTCTAAAAACGTCCTGAATGGCTGTATTCTGCCCTTTTCCACTTTGCAGCGCAAGATCATTTTTCTGCTGTTGCGAGCTAGTGATTTAATTACTTTGTTCAAAATTAAATTTTCAACTATGCTGTCGTTGTAGTGTTCAAATATTCAATTGGGGG